CACTCGCAGGCTGCTATGTTTCAACTGATCATCACACTGCTGTGGAGTCTGCTTATATAGCCTTGCGCTGTTGCTAGTGTGACGTGGCGTATAGCATAGGACGCTGTTGCTAGCGTGACGTCACCGCTGTTGATTAGCATTGCGTAGTTGCCAGGTTACGGGGCTCGGCTATCTTCGGTTCCGCTCGGCTCTCTTCGGCTCCGCTCGTGACGTCACCGCGCGTTGCGCATTGCGGGGTGATTACTCGCGTATTACGAGAGCGCTCAGTTACCGCTGAGGGGAGGGAGGGGAGCGCTGACTCATCCGCCGCGTCACTGCTGGTGTGGGGGGGGGGGCTCGGATTTCGCAACATGTCACAATAATATACCCTTACACCTAAATAACTATGAGTTTGTACAATTCAATCAGTAATTTGACTGGATGGACGACTGCTGACAGGGACAAGGTTTTTTAGCTTTGTTGCCACATCTAGATCAGCTCCAGGTCCTATCCTGTGTACATCAGATGCTTCTTCCCTGGGCTTTACTGGCAAATGTCCTTTTCTTTGTCAGATGTTCACTGCTGATCTGATGTATGGTATCTTGGAGAAATTAAGTGAGAAGTTTGGAGAAAAAGAAGTGGAACTGATCCTGTTAATACTGAGGAGTGTTGGCTTCAGTCTGCGTAAAGATGATCCTTTGGCACTCAAAGAATTGATCCTCAAACTCCAACAGATAGCTGGAGAAGCTACTCAATTTGAGAACAGGTAAGGAACACAGCAAATGATGTGCAGTTATCACACACATGATTTGTTGACATTTTCCATGCATTTTACAGAATATTTTGCAGGAATTTATGCTCTCTCATTTATGGTATATTCTGTGGGCAATTCTGAGTTCTTGTCATTGCATTTAATTTCTGGAATATTGTGCTGGCTTGCACTGACATGCTATTTTTATGTGACTGCAAGAGAGTTATAATAAATGACACAAGAGGGTGGAATTAAAAAAAAAAACAATTATTTAAGTAAATTCCCTTTCTGCCATTAATGTGGTTTTGAAAAGTTCATAATGTAAATTCACAAGCAAGGTTTATGTTTAGATCAGGAATGTGAATCCTGAAAGGAAAAGGTGTAGCATAGCATAAAGCACAACAGGATGAGATTTCTGAGACTGCTCACTTTTCTTCCTTTAAAGATCATGTGCAGACTGAAATAATTAGATAAGAATTACAAATTTCCAACATATTAGAAAATACTGAGGAATCCAGATTACAGTGATTATTGATTTAATTACTGTAATACAATTAATTAATCAGTATATATCTCTAATTGCATTACATCTCTCGTAGGTCCAGGTATTCTCATTAAGATCTGAAGCTTTGATAAAATCTTATTGGGCCATCAGCCATGTTATTTTGTTAAAAATTACTGACAATTCAGGGACCATCTCTGTCCCCATAATCAGGGTCTGATGTGGAACAGACCCTGATGATGGGGACAGATGATTCCTGAAACCTCTGTAAGTTTTAACCGACCAATAAGGCTGATAGCCTGAGATTTTATCATCAACTATTCTCCTCAGTACTTTGTTCTCAGACACTCCATATCTGTATTTTTCTCAGTGAGACACTAAGTTTGATAATGATAAATTAAATTGTATGTTGTCTGATGGGTGAGCTGTTACTTGCAATTAATGTCCAGATTAACATGATACTGTCACAGTACCCGTGTGAAATTTATGCTGGAAGTTCTGCTGGCTATTAAGAACAACAACATGAGGAAGATACCGAATTATGATCCCAGCCACAGTGAACACCTCAAAAAACTAATGAAGGGATTTCTGCATAAAGGAAATTACATCACTGAACTCAAAATCTCATTGGATGACTTGCTGAAAGGTACTTACAGTGTTTCCATACAGACATACATAATTGTTTCATTTGTAGTTTGTTAAATACACAAAATACCAAACAATGTTTCAAATGAAAGTTACAGATTTTTATGAGGTCTACTTGTAAGTTAATGTATACATTTTTTGTACTGTGAGTAAAGGTGAAGCCATCCCTGTACCGTGGAGGCCCATAGGGTTGTCAGATGTCGAGGTTCCTACATTTTCTAGACAGGAGGTTCATAGATTGGTAGCGAGGTTATCAGCCTTACACGCTGGCTGCCCTTTCTTTACCCCCTAGGGCCATGGTGCATCTGGAAGGGTAGGTCAATTGAAAAACCCAATGACCAAATTGAATCTGTGACCTTCTTGCTTGTAGCACAGTACCTCAACCATGATATTGCATGCCCACTTTGTACTATGAGTTATTGAGAAATTTAAAAAAGTTCAATTTTAGGTTCAGGTAAAGTATTATTATGGACTAATATAGAAAATGATATTCGCATGGAAACTTCTAGTTTCATTTTCTTATATTCAGATTTCTTTCAAGTTTTGTGTGTTTGTGATCTCCATATTAAATTCCACATGCCTAGCTTTGAGGATTCGTGGCTGCCACATTTCTGATTTAGATTTTAAAACAGATGACCTTAAAACAGTTGCATATTTTATGAAGACCTATCATCCAAGAAAATTTCAGGGTCCTACATTAAGTGCCAGTAATGTCTCTCCCACCTAATGAGTTTGCATAATGTGGTATTCCTTTTATTGGAGATAAGAAATTAACAAGGTCAAAGATAGCATACGAGGGTCGATCAATAAGTACTCATGTTAGGAATAAAGACACAATTTTTTTTTTATTTTTCAACATAATCTCCTTTGAGGTTGATACACTTTTCCCAACGTTTCTGCCATTTCTTTATCCCCTCCAAAAAATACGATTTGTCAAACTCTTCAAAATACGCTTCTGTCTCGGCGATAACCTCGTTTGAGCTGAATTTTTTTTTCCCCTGAGCCATGTTTTCATGTTGGTGAACAGAAAAAAGTCGCAGGGAGCCAGGTCTGGCGTGTACGGTGGGTGTGGCAGCAATTCGTAGCGCAGTTCATGCAATTTGGCCGCGACAATTCCGGATGAATGTGCTGGTGCGTTATCGTAGTGAAACAGCACTTTTTTCTTAGCCAAATGGGGCCGTGTCTCCTTCAATTTCTTATCGAATCGGTCCAATAATTCACTGTAGTACTGCCCTGTGATCGTTCTTCTGCAAAAATCCATGAGGATAATTCCCTTCGAATCCCAAAAAATCATGGCCATGACCTTTCTGGCCGATGGGACTGTCTTTGCCTTCTTCGGAGCAGATTCACCTGGAAGAATCCATTGTTTTGACTGTCGCTTGGTCTCTGGCATATAATAATGTATCCAGGTTTCATCAACGGTGATGACTCGACGCAAAAACTCCTGTGAATTTCGCTTAAAGAGGTCCAAACACTGCTTTGACATTGACAGCTGTATCTGCTTGTTGTCCACCGTGAGCAATCGCGGCACCCATCGGTCCAACACCTTTCTCATACTTAACTTATCATGTAAAATATTGATTGCCGTTCCATACGACACGCCTATGGCCTCTGCTACTTTGCGCACTTTAGTTCGGCGATCAGCGAGAATCATGTCGTGGACCTTTTCAACGATTTCCTTGGTAACCACGTGAATTACGGATCGATATTTCACTTTTTCCATTGTATCGAGAAAGATGAAACACGTCTGATGCAACTGGCTTCCAAATAAAAACTAACCTATGAATCAGTCTGAAATTTAGTATGGTGTCGTCTGACAGATGGCCGTACACGACGGTAATGCCAACTTCCCTCAGCAACGCCACCTGTCTTCAAACATGGGTACTTATTGATCAACCCTTGTAGTTTTTAGTATCTATCATGTTCAAACCAGGACTAATGAAAATCTGTACATTGATTTAATAATTGTTGGGGGATAAGCACATGGATGGACATATGGACATGATAACATAATCCTGTCCATTTTTTCAACACAGGAAGTAGGCTAAAAGCCTCATGTGTATACCATGTTGTTACAGTTGATGTACAAGGCAGATGGTGGATTGTGGGATCAGCATGGACAGGCTCTCTTCCAGGCAAGGCAGGGAAACAGGATCCAGATAACTGCATGAAGCTTCAACAAAGCAACGAGTACAGTCAGCAGTTACTGGATCTTGCACGGAAGCACCGCATGAACACAGATGTACGCAGGAATATCTTCTGCATTTTGATGACTGCTGAGGTAATACACAAAACATACTAATGTGAATGTAAAATTCTAAATCTAAATTTCAAAATTAACATTTTGCTTTCAGTTCTTGAAAATGTTAACTCAAAATATCTGTATAAATTTAACTGTTTACAAATAAATGCCTAAAAATTATCACAAAATGTTTGTTGTCCAACAGGTAAACTGTTTTGGTATTTATTCAGTTACATTTTACAATGATCTAAGTAGCTAGTCATCGAAACAGGCAGATGTCCAACAGCTGTTGTAGACAGTGTGTCACTGTGTTGAGAGATGAGAATGGTTATTTCTATGATTCGCATGGTATTGTAGATAGACGAAAACAAATCCTTAATAAGTTTCTAAACAATCTGCAGCTGATGAGTTTAATGGACTGAAATACATACTACTAAACGATTAGTATGAACATCTTTCATTGCCTTGTTTCATTACCTTAGGAAGATCTGTCCAGGCTCCTATATTAGAGGAATCCTGGAACAGTAACTTGAAAAACAGCAAAATACCATCAGAAATTCTCCTGAGAAACATTCAAGCCTCCCTTAAGAGATGAATTAGGTAGGGAATGGGGAAATTTTATGATTCATATAGTTTGTCTAGGATACCTATATCAAGAATGGATTGGACATGTACCTTCGAGAGTAATAAAAGGCATACAGAATGTTGATAGAAAAAACCTACTGGGTAACAGCGATTTCAAAGATTAGAAAGCATGAGGATAATTTTAAAATGGCCTTTAGAGGAATATACTGTGATATGAACTAGCTTAGATTCATGTCATATACCTTACACTGTCTTACCTTAAAAAAGGTCCTATTTTGAATATACATATAAATCTGGAAAATGTAGATGAATAAATTGGTATCAGTAGTCATGACCTTATTTTCAAGCATATTGTGAAACCACATATTAATTTATTTCTTTTATTATTAACAGGATTATCTTGATGCATTTGAGAAGTTACTACACTTGGGACTGAAGCACCAACAAGAGAGAGAAATTATTCATGTTATTATAAACTGTTATCTCCAAGAAAAGCAATTCAACCCATATTACTGCCATCTCTCACAGAAATTCTGTGATTTTGACAGGAAATATCAGGTAGTTTCTTTGCAGTTTTGTCATAAAAGACATATCGTACCATATCAAGAAACCCAACTGTTCATCGCCATATTCACAAGATTCTGACAAACCCAGTCCATATTACATTCACAAACACAGAATATGTTACATCATTTCATATTAGAACCAGTAATTCAGAAATGGGGCCAATATATGAAAGTAGTTTTGCTGTTTTATATATAAGTATACCATATAATTGAAGACCATTATTGTGTTATTAGGGTGATCAAAGCAAGAAGGATGTAATGGGAGTCATTGTATTCATTTCTTAATGATAACTCTACTCCCTGGAGTTAGTTACTATATATTTATGTGTCATGTGACTTCCCATCTCTGACAGAGTATCACACTTAGATACATAGTGTACATTTGTTTCAAAATTGTGTTTTAACTTTTTATGCCCATGTTCTGTTGTGTACTTCTACAGATCGCTATCCAGTGTGCCCTTTGGGACAGGTTCAAGGAACTTCAAAACATGCCTTCATTCCAAGTAACAAACCTGGCAAAGTTTCTTGTACATTTGGTTCTTCATAAAGGACTCCCACTTTCAGTACTTAAGGTCAGTGTAAGACATTGTCATTCTATGTATGCTGGTCCAGTGGCAGTGTGATATAAAGCATGCATTATTTTTAATAAGTGTGGGACTTCTTTTCTAAATAAGAATTTACGTATCTTTGCAGTATAGCAGACCCTGGACCAAATCAGGCTCTAGTGCAGAATTTTACTCTTCTGTAGTTTGAAGAGGTGGTCTAGTTTCCTGGTTACAGATCCAGAGGTCTGGGTTCGATTCCAGGCACTACCAGATTTTCTGAGAAGTAGTGGGTCTGGAACGGGGTCCACTTGGCCTCGTGAGGATAACTGAGGAGCTACTTGAATGGAAAAGTAGCGGCTCCAGTCTAGAAAGCCAAGATTAATGGCTGTGGGGATTCGTTGTGCTGACCACGTGACACCCTCTATCTGCTTAAAGTTGGCAGTAACTTCACCTACAAGCAGCAGTTGCTTGGTCGGTATAGTTTGCTTGAGGACTAAAGCCACGGAGTTTACTTTGTAGTTTAATGACACTGTCAGTAACTCAGACTGTAGAGCACTGAATGATATAATAGATTCAAAAGGATGTGTACGGGAGCAGTCATGGACTAATTTCAGGTACCATCCTGGCATCTGCTTGTATGGACAAAGGAATTCCACAAGACACCTGAGTCTGAATTCAGTTAGAAGCATTACTGCTTGAGCCAGACTGCTTGTAGTGCTACAGGAGGACATGATATTGTATGAGATAATTTAATCGTGATAAACATTTCACTTTGTTGGCATGAAATAATTTAATGGCTTGTTTTATTTAAACTATATTAACACTTCAGTTGATGATCAGTTTGCTAATTGTTTTAATGTCAAATGAACTCACTGGACAATCAAACCAAACAAAAACTTCCTACAACACAGATGTAATGGTAATATTGCCATGTGTTGTTTTTCAGAGCCTTATATGGAGGGGAGGGGGTAACCAAGTGTGGTACATGATTATGGCATTGCCATTTAAATAGGAGAGGCCTTAGAGAAATGCCACATACCCCAAATGACAAATCCATTTGTTATATTTTCTATGGGTACACATGAAAGGGAGCTTGGTAGTGTAGTTGGTCGAGGCACTATGCTACAAGCTGGAAGGTTGTAGGTCTGAATTCCAATGAAGATCATTGGATTCTTGAATTGACCTAACCTTCCAGCCACATTATGGTCCTGGGGTTGACTCACCCTCTTAACAGAAATGAGTATCAGGAATCTTCCTGGGGATAAAGGTGTGGTCAGCACTTAAGGCTGTCAGCCTCAATGTCTCAACCCTGTGGGCATCCACAGCCTGTTACACATGAGCAGTACCTTTTTTAAAAGAACTGCCTTATGTTATATTATGGATCAGAAACTAACGGTCTGTGACTACGTACTACTAACCTGTATTCTGCCCAATCATGTGTTGCAGGTTATTCATTTTGCAGAGGTGGATCAGTTCACTGTACGATTTCTGCGCCAAGTTCTTCTGGGAGTTTTGCTTGCTGATTCAGAAGAATCTTTCCAGCAGGCCTTCCAGCGTGTCACTGTTTCATCCAAGCTACACCTCTTCCGAGAAGGAATAAGGATATTTATACACCACTTCATGTTGCGCAATATGAGTGCACTTCCTCAAGATGATATGGAGACTCTAAAACTGCGAGCAAAAATGGCAGATAAAATTTTTAGTGCAGCAGAATCAAAAGTAAGGTTTTGAATACCTGTTATAAAGAGAAATGTATCTGGCTAATGTTACTGATTGTTAAATAAAATACATTGTAATTTATTTGATGCCTAGCTATGTTTCATTTATTTAGAAATACAGTGCAACCACCACTTGAGGTTCCTTTGTAGGATGATGAATTTGAACACTAAATTGAGCAAGATATAGACAGTAGTCCTTTTAAACTCAGGGATTGTTACTGATTTGGGATCAGTGAAACTGAACATTAAATTTGGGCTTCGCTGTATAGTCAGCAGATGTTTAGGTGAAAGAACTACTGCAACATTCCAAATGTCATGGCATTGTTGAACTTAAACGGGTAAGGGGAGTAAACTTTTCAGAATTCCATCACAGCTTATAATGTATTCCTTTAAAGCCATTGACTCAGAAGTGCATACTGCATTTCAACATACTTTGTGCCAGCATGATTATCCTTATCCCTTCTGCTTTCAAAAACAGTAAATACATGTTACATAATGAAACCCCCATGTAAGGTTTCTTTGGGGGAACAGTGGATTTGAACACTAAACTGAGGAAAATCTAAAATGGAAATGCAAAAATTATTGATGCGAGATCTCTGAAATTGAACAGGAAAACCCTTGAGAGAGGGATAGTTGGATTTCAGTGTTTCCTAGTCAATGTCAGTGTTAAACTGTCTCAGTTTAATATCATCCTCAGATTTGTATTCAAATCCACTGCTCCCAAAAGAAGCCTCAAATGGGGAAATCATTGTGTGTGTATATATATACATGTGATATTCTATCAGCTGTTTTATTAGTTGTGAAATGTTTTTGCTTGCTTTTAGGAAACATAAATTTGAAGTGTTTAAAACAAAATACCCAGGAAAATAAATGGACCCAAGACATATGAAGTAAATAGGAAACATAGAAAGGAACATGTATGTTACGGTAGTGAAATCGAGGCGATCAAGAGGGTCTGAACACGTGACTCAAAACTGGAGAGACATAAAATGCATATAGAATTCTGGCGCATGACCAGTGAGATGGAAGAATAATAAGACTGATCTTAGGGGATGGATGGAACTGGCATGGTATTCTGTCCAAAGGTAGACTTTGGCATTAGGGGTGCTCAATTGTCAAGATTTACTGCTAGTCTTACTGTTACTACTGATGCTGCTACTATTGCTACTTACTCAGGATATGGTCTTATGGCGAGCAGTCAATCAAAAAGGCCTCCCTATAACATATGAAGGTTCATATTTATGATTATGGAAGCTTGCTAGGCCCTTAGATACTAAAGTGTCCTGATGATGGTGTGTAACACTCAGGATTACTGGGGTTTCAGAACAGGAACATGTTTTGGAACCTGGATCTGTTTCCATCCTCAGGTGAGGGTTCAGTAACAGGTTAGCTCTTTCTAACAGACCCAATTAGAGTAGGTGTCTCCACCCCTCACCAGACAATGGAAACAGACCAAATTTCCATTTTTTTAAAGAATACCGGGTGATGGACAAAGTCCAAAAACCAAGTAATTCTGATTTAACCTTTAAACGACTAAAGACCCCATACGGGGTCGCACAAGTTTAGTCAGCGGTACGAATGTCCCCATATGGGGTCGCACATTCCGCGCGTGCGGACATTATTTGAAATACATTTTTAAGGTAGAAAATAATGTCCTACTTATATAATTTTTGGCCACCATCTGCATGGAGGGTCTGTCTTCCTACCTGCGTCATCTGCCGGAATGTTGCCTTCGTGTGGAATTCTCAAAAAAATCCGGAAATGCAGAGTCCGATTTCGCACTTCACGTAATTTGTCCGGACGGTCTTTCCTTTCCCACGCGAAAAGCACACACGACACCTCAATTGCGAAGTAGAGGATGTCGGCCAGTGATGTGGTTTGGCCTTCTATAATCGAGATATCTCCGATAAAACGGCAGGGGTTCGATTCCCGGTCACACAGTCCGCACGTGTTGACGTTATATAAATTACATTTTTAAAGTAGTAAATAATGTTGTACTTACGTAATTTTTGGCCACCATCTGCATGGAGGGTCTGTCTTCCCA